CCTTTAGGAGTTCCTAGCCTAAACCAGGGTGTGATTTGGTGACAGAGCCACATGCACAGAGCAGTGCAGGGTGGGCTAGATGCCTTAAGGAGTTCCTAGCCCAAACCAGAGTGTGATCTGGCGACAGAGCCACACACCCAGAGCAGAGGAGGGCAAACCAGAGTGTGATCTGGTGACAGAGCCACATGCACAGAGCTGTGCAGCTGCTGCATGAGGAGCTCTGACCTGAGCACCTGATTAACATTGTCTTTTCTTTTCTTTTCGTTTTTTTTTTTTGTTTGTTTGCTTTCTCTGTTGCCTGCCTTCCTCCTGTTCCCATTTAACCCAGAAAAACTGATTGAGGGCCTCAAATCTCCTGAGCCTGCTCTTCTGCTCCCTGAGCTCCTGCCTCTCGCTGACCCCTTCGGTAGCACCTCAGACGCTGTGAATGGTAAATTCAAACCCAGGGCACTTCCTCCAGTGTGTCTGACCTGTCCTGCCCTGCATGGGAACTGCCTGGATGTGCCCCCTGGGCCCCCCCAACAGCCACTGCTGGTGGTGGAACAGTGTGAGGAGTCACGGATCGTGCTGGGATGGATATGGCTCTTCTCCCAGAGTTCAGCACCTGAGCAGTGTGAAGAGTTGTGTTTTCACCCAAGCTCTGTGTGTGTTGGTGTGGCACAGCAGCCTGGCACAGCTGTGCCTTGTGTGTTCTCTGGGTTAATTGCTGATGGGAAGGAGAAGATGCCAAAAATATCTCCATTTCTGGCCGAGACTCTGTGTTTAACCACTGAGTGATCCATGTCTCCATGGGCCCTCAGCAGCATGAGGAGGAAGGGCAGCATTCCCTGCACAGGGGGAATGCTGGCAATGAGTGTCCTAGGCTGCCAGGAGCCTTGGATGCAGGAGGCAACAGGCAGGATGAAGATTTTAGAGTGGTGCAAAATCATCTCTGGATCTACTTGGCAAATTGCTGCCATCAGAGTGGGTTGGGGTCCCCTGGGGTCCCCAGGTCAGCTGGGTGCAGCCTCTGGCTTTGGTAGAAAGGGAATGATTCACTGTCCTAGCAAGACTTTTTCCCTCTTTGGCAGTTTTTGGCAGTTGTCTGAATGCTCTTTGATGGTGATCCTGCACATGAGACACCCACACTGCAGTGAGAACAGAAATGATCCTTAGTCTCTCTTAGGGTGACCAGTCAGACCAGCTCTGGAACTGAATCCCAGTTCTTTGGCTTGTTGTTGCCTTGGATCTGTGAGGAACAGCCCCAGGCAAGCACTGCCAAACCAACCTTTCCATCCAGCTTTGGGAAGTGTCTCCTGTTGTCTCCACAACGTGGACATCAACATGAGACCACACTGGGGCCTGAGGTTTTCAGTTCCAAATATTGTCACCTCTCTCTGTTGGGTCTTTGCTCCTTTTCACCCTGGGATGATGAGACCAAAGATTCCCATGCTCAGCTGGGACCATGCTAAGGGCTCCACAGGAGGTGTTTCCATGGTCTGTCTGTCCCTCCTGATGCCAAGGGACTCTTCAAGGGTCATGTTTTCCTTTGGCTGGATGAGGACCTTATGGATATCTCCCAAGGCTCCTCTGGGCTGCAGGGCAGGAGTGATTAACCTGCTCCTCCTCTGCCTGTTTCCAATTGGACTTGCACAGGTTACAACAGAGAAATCAAACCAAATGAAAACGCAGCAAGCACTGAATTAATCTTCCCTCCTGATTAAATTTACACTGGGCTGACTCCACCCTCTCGTGCTGGCTGAAGGGTCACGAAAGGGTTCAGACAACTGCTGCCTCAGTTCTGCTCTTTCTAGCACACTAATCTCTGGCTTCTCCTCTGCCTCTCTGCCCCTGTGGAAAGGAAAAGCTGACGTAGCCGTCGAGAGTCTCATCCCAGGCCTCGAGGCTCCTGTGCCCCAGCGCCTCGTGTCCCAGAGCGAGTCCGTGGCCTCCAACAGGACAGGTTGGTGAGGCAGGAGTGGGTGGAGGGCAGGGACCCCAGAGCCCTCTGGGGTGTGGGGAGCAGAGAGCACTGCCTGCTGCCACACAAACCTCCTCCTCTCGCTGCTCTGCCCACCCGTGGGACCTGGAGCAATGTGTGTGTGCTCTGTGGGTCACTGTGTCTCGTCTCCTCGTGAGGAACAGTTGGAGATTGGGAAAGGTTCTTCCCCTCGAGGTGTTTGGCCATGGTCCCAAGGCTGACAGAGCTCCAGGAGTGTTTGGTCAGTGCTCTCAGGCACTGGGTGGATTGTTGGGGTGTCCTGGGCAGGAGTTGGACTGGTGGTGCCTGTGTGTCCTGTCCAACTCAGGATATTCCATGATTCCCCAGCAGAGTATTCCTTAGGCCTGTTAGAGCTCCCAGCTCTGCTTGTGCACAAAGTGGGGGTGAGTGGGAATGTGAGAACATGAGCTTAACACTCTTTGTGTCCTGTTTAATGCTACCTTGGGATGCTCACCTGGATCCAGACTCTCTCACTGGGGAGGACTCTCTGCTTGACTGTTCTCTGCTTTCTAACCCTGCTGCTGACCTCCTGGATGAGTTTGCTCCTGTAGCTTTTGCAGCTCAGCCTCACAAAGGTAAACTGGCTCCTTGCTCTGCCCCTGACCTCTCCCTGTGCTCTGTAGCTGTTGGGAGGTCACACCATTCCAGTTCACACCAGTGGACGCTCTGACGTGTTCTGCTGGTGTTTGCCTTTATTTTCCCCAAACCAGTGCTTTGTTTTCTTCCCTATTCCCTGGAATAGGTACTGAAGTACTGAGGGGAAGACATAGATAAAAGTGTTCAGCTTGACTTTTACAGGGATCTGAAGGCAAAGGTCAACACTTTCTCACTGGATAGCTCAAAACTTCCCAACCAACACATGGGTTTGCATTTGTTTGTCCCTTAGTGAGCTCAGTGGCATCCAACTCCTACAGGTTAGCACAGGACAACACAAACCAGGCACAGGGAGTGAACTGCCAGGCCTTGAAACAGGCTGAGGCCCCTGATTGTTGTTCCCTTATCTCCTTTCCCATCCATCCTGCCACCTCCTTGTTTTTGTTGGGCTTCTCAGCCTCACTCCAGAGGGGTAAGGTGTGTGAGAAAGGTGTTGTTTTTCATGGGAGGGATCCAGCTGTGTGTGCAGCCTGTCCTCAGTGAGTCCACTCTGCTTTTTCCAGACCTGGTTTTATGCTGCTTTATTAATTCTGGAAGGGACAATCACCTGCCAGAGGTTTTTTGAAGCCAACAATGGAGCAGTTGCCTGTGTCCCTCTCAGGATGACTCCCATAAACCAGGCTGGTAGGGAATGGTGGGTACCACACATCTCCTGTGTGGGAGGGAGGATCAGGACTTGGGGCTGTTTGTTGCCTGGAGTCACAGTGCTGGGTGTCCCTGGGTGTTGGGCCATGCTAAGCTCCCTGGTGAGTGTCCCTATAGCAACAGGAGATGATCTGCCCTCGGAGGAATTGCTGTAAAAACAGCCTGTAATCAGTTTTTACACTTGGTAGCACTTCAAAATGAGTTTGTGTTTTCCACAGAGCTTGGGGTTAAACAAGCAGGTTCTAATTGCTCTGTGCTCAATACCCTCCTGTGCCACCTCCCTGTGGCAGTGGCTTGAGGTGTGTGTGGAGCAATTATTGCTGTGTCCTGGAGCACAGCACAGCCCAGTGCTGCTGTGGCTCAGTGTGGAGATGAACTTCCAGGCTCCTTGTGGCCCTCCCAGGCTGCTCCTCTGGGGCCAGAGAGGCTCATGTTTGACAGGGAACGTGACACTGTGAGCAGGGGGTGAGGGCAAGATGCAAAAACCCTCCAGAACTCATTCATGGCTTGTTTTCACCCCCTGATTCTCCAGCTCTGGGTGGGGTTGTTAACTGGGCTGCAGTCTCAGTCTCTGGTTTGCTTTGTTGTCCAGTCATGCTGGAGCTGGAGAGCTGCCCTGGGGTAGGAGCTCTGCCCTTGGCTGTTGTTAGCCTGTGGATTTGCAGTTTGTCATGCCTTGTCTGGGGGGGGATATGTTGTCTCCTGTGAGCTGTGGGACCAGGAGGGCTGAAAGAGCAGCTGGGGCTGGGTAGGGACTGATGCTCCCACCATGCCACAGCATCCTGTGGACTGTCTGATGGCCTTGGAATTTGTGCTCAGCCCTCAGAGTCCCTGAATTTGCATGTGCTGAATTCAGTATATGTGTCAGGAGGATTTTTCTCCTGATGGTGATAGAAATCACTGAGGTGAGGGAGCTCCAGTGCTTTTGGAGGAGTTGTGCCCCAGCAGGGACACTCTGCAGCCTTTCCCTCTCCTCAGGGAGAGCTGAGCAGTTCTCCTTCAGCAGCTCTGGGTGCAGAGAGCTGCAGAGCTGGGAGCAGTGTGTGTGTGAGTGACGTGGGAATGGGATCCCTGCAGAGGTTCCCAGGCAGGTTGGGAAGAGCCAGAGTCAGGAACTTCAGGGATGACAAGCTGAGACTTCCTGTTAGGGTGAAACAGCTCTGTGTGTTTGACACTTTGCACCAGTCTGAGAACACCTAGGGTTTGTTTTCCTGGCTGTGATCCTCCCAGGACAGTGTGTTCCCTTCTGCATCACCTCACCCCAAACCTGTTAACAGCTTCAGAGCTGTGAGTCCCTCTAGGAACCAAATGGGAACATTCCTGTTCCTTGGGCACTGTCAGGCTTACAGAAGTATTTGCTGTAGGAATTGCAGAGCAGATCTGGGAAGGTATTTTAGGTGTCTGAAGTAACAAGGAGCGATGCACAGTGTGTGTGTGAGAGCCTCTGAAGGGATGGAGCTGCCTGATAAGGCAGACAAATGTCTCATCTGCTCTGGAGATGTGGAAAGTGCCTCCCACTGAGCAGCTGACGTGGCTGGAGATCCATGGCATTATCTGCCAGAGCTGCTCTCCAGGCCTTTACAAATCTCTCCCAGGATCTGGTTACATCTTCAGGCATGTAAACCCCTTGGAAATCTGACTTCATGTGGCACTTCTTGCTCTGTGGGTGGAAGCTCAGGGGTTTGGCTCACGTAGATGACTGGAATTTCTTCTGTGTGGTTGTTTTCCAGCCCTTTCCCTGGCCCTGAGAGCTGGGAGCCAGAGCCAGGCTGCTCCTGAGCCATGCTAGTGGCAAACACCTCAGTCCCTGGGAGCTTCACCCTCTGCTCTGAGCTGTCCAGCTGAGCCTTCAGACTGGCCACATCTTGTTCTGGCCCTTGTGACTTGGCTTGGTTTGGTTCTACCCTTTCTGTGGTTAACTGGCTCTTCTTTCTAACCAGCCTCACCAGCTTTGTCTCCCCTTGTCAATGAAACTGCTGCTCCTAATGCTGTCTCTGAACACTTAAAGATGTTCTAACACTTCTGCAATTCTTCTAACCACCCTCTCTGCTGTCTTTGCTTCCTTATCTCTATATTCTTCTATGCTGCAGAAGATACTAACCTGATATCAGGCTTTGATGCTCCTGAGGGCTCTGAAAAAGGGACAGAAGATGAGTTTGACCCAATTCCAGTGTTGATATCCAAAAACTCACAAGGTAAGCCAGGCTGTGGGGGTGGAAAAGAGAAGGAAAAAAGGCAAACAGTGAACATAGGAGTCAGTTCTGGGGCAGTGATGCTGCAGCACATGTGATAGTCCAGTCCTAAGCTGTAGGGTACTATCAGTGTGGTGTTCAGTCAGCTTAGTCTGTCTTGCAGTTGCACCAGCCTTGAAATTTCTGTGGAGTTTGGGAGGAGATCCCATGTGCAGGAAGGTGACAGTTGTACAAGCATCTCTGGTCCCAGGAGGTACCTGCTCTGTGTGTCAGGAGGGCACAAGGGCACTGCTGCTTCTCCCACACCCACTTACTGCCCAGGCCAGCACAGGAGGTGCTTAGCTTGGCACGAGGCAGCAGAAAGGGAATAATAATCCTTCATCACCCCAGATCTCCTGCTGGAAGTGAGGGGTTTTTTTACCTCTCACCAGTCTCTTTCAAAGCTGCTTGTGGGAACTGAGCAGCACAAGTTTGGCTGATGGTTCTCAGCTCCTTTGAAGGCTCTGAGCAGGCAGAATCCATAGGACAGGACTGGAAAGCTGCTCATCTGCACCTTTCTGTCCCCTGAGTCCCCCTGACATCACCTCTGCAGCAGTTTCAGCCTCATGTGGAGGAGCTGCAGCATCAACTGGCTCAAAAGCACCAACTGTGCTGTGGTTGTAGTTCTTCAGGGAGTATCCAAGTCCCAGGTACAGGAAGCCCCATGGTAGCTCAGCTCTCCTGGAAGCAGCTGCAGGCCAAAGATGCTCTGAAAACAGCAACTGAAGGTCAAGATTTAACACTTGGGGTTGTCCTTTCTGTAGGTCATGGGAGTAATTGCTTTAGGGATCCTTCAGGAAGAGCAGAATCTGCAGCCTGGAGAGCCCTTGGGGAAAAAATTGCTCTGCAGGGATTTGTTGCTGCTGTGGTTTGGGGGGCAGAGGGTGGAGGAGCACTCAGGGGGGTGTCAGTGGTGCTTAGAAGTAGTGAGAAGAAAAGAACCTGAGCCAATTCTCTGTTTTGCTTTGACTTTTTTCCTTTCTTGCTTGATCTTGAACGTCTGAAACTGTCGCGTGTGTCCTTCCAATACTGAACTGCTGTCTCTCACACTTTCAGGTGGGCATTCTAGAAACAACAGTGGAAGCTCTGAGTCCAGTCTTCCCAACATAGCCAGGTCTTTGCTGCTGGTGGATCAGCTGATAGACCTGTAGCAGTGACCCAGTAGCAGACGCAGTTTCTGTACCGTACCCAACCCTCCGGTTTCATTGCCAGAAGAGTTTCCTTCCGTTGTGCTTCTTTGGGGCTTTGGCTTTTTTTTTTTTTTTTTTTTTGGGGGGGGTTTCCTTATTCAAAAGAGAAATCTGCCAACAGGAGACAGTCACCCACTTTTCTCCCTGGCTTCCCATGCCCTGGGAAGGATTCTGTCTCATTTCTCTAGGTAGCTGCTAATTGCCTGCTCTGGTCCCTCCTGTGCCCATCTCACTCCCTGTGCCACAGGGAGCTCTAGCCCTGGGGGCAGCTACCTGCTGGGGGTCCTGCCTGGGCCCTCCTGTCTGCCCAGGGCAGGGTGTGGACAGCACTCCAGTCTTTGCTGTGTGGGTTGGCTTGGGTTGGGCTCTGCTCCTCGTGACTGGGCAGGAGGAAGGAGCCAGGTGACAGCAGCAGGGATGTCCCTGCCCTGCAGGACACAGGTTGGGAGAGCTGATGGCTCTGAACTGCTCCAGAGGAGGAGGAGGAGGAGGAAACTCCCTGAGCTTCTCTGGAGCAGTTGGGCTCAGGGCTCTGGGGATGGTGCAGATGAAGAGTTTTCTAGCTGCCCCCAGCTTGTGGTGTGCTGCTTATCAGTCCTGCTTGGGAGTGAACTGCACTTGCTGGGGGAGGGAAAACCAGAAACAAGGGGGGGAAAAAAAAAAGAGATTGTTCAAGCTGCAAAAATGACCCTAAGTGAAACCTAACAAGGTTCTGAACCAAATCCATGTGAGTATGGCTGTGAGTAGTGTTTTGTTGACATTTTTTTGGGTGAAAAGGGCATTGTGGCAGCAGCAGATGTATTTTCTGTGACTTCTTTTTCTGTGTTTGACTGGAAACAAAAGAAAATCCCTCCAACCTACTGTAAATTGTGTATGAAACAAATTGTCCTCCAGTTGTTTGTCTCTTTTTAATCCTGGGTTTAGTCAAGCATCCGTCCTGGGTTCTCCATTTTCTCTTGTAACTGCTCTAGTGCCCCCAGCTCAGTGTGGAACCATTCCCTGCAGCAGGCCAAGGCTCCTGCAGTC